TTTAAAAATAAAAATGCTATACAATGTCTAGTCCAGTGTTTCTCAACCTTGGCAACTTGAAGATGTCCGGACTTCAACTCCCAGAATTCCCCAGCCAGCGCATTCGCATTCGCTGGCTGGGGAATTCTGGGAGTTGAAGTCCGGACATCTTCAAGTTCCCAAGGTTGAGAAACACTGGTCTAGCCACACTTTCTCTTGGTTAACGGTTTCCTTTCTCTCTTGGAATGATTGGAAACCCCAGGGAAATTTACTACAAGTAGCGCTCAACGTTCAACAGTTTATTTTAGTGAGTGTTCAAAGTTACAACATCACTGGAAAAAGTGACTTATGACCATTTTTCAACATTTAGGACCTTTGCAGCATCTCCATGGTCACAGGATCAAAATTCAGATGCTTGGCAACTGACTCACATTTGTGACAGTTGCATTATCCTGGGGGTCATGTGATCACCTTTTACGACCTTCTGTCAAGCAAAGTCAATGGGGAAGCCAGATTCACAATAACCATGTCCCTAACTTAACATCTGCAGTGATTAACAACAGTTTGCAATAAAGATCGTAAAATGGGGCAAACCTCACTTAACAAATGTCTCACCTAGCAACAGAAGGGCTGAGTTGTAATCGTAAATCGAGGACTACCTGCATATGGTCTTTGGAAGGCAAGAGTAATATCTGTTTCTCAATCATGCACTTCTGACATTGAACAAAGCAATGTGACAAAGCCGAAGCAGGAAACGTATAACATCTTGTTAGATTGCTGTATCCACATAATGCATGCTATACAGTCGTTAGTAGGAAGTCTCTGTCAAAACATTGGCATTAGATTGGCAGAGGCTGCAATATATTTCTTAGGAAAATCAGGATTTTGATTTTATGTACTGAAAGTCGTCATTATTATTACAGTTCATCACACAGTTAGCCAGATATTCAGACTGGATTTGGCATTTTTGTTTGCCTATCAAGTCCTTCCCAAAAACCTGGAATAAACAGATGTGGATGTTTGATGGTGTTACAGATATCGTCACAGTATGTAAGCTCTTCCAAGTAAAGCTGCCTTTTGCAATTGACTGATGATGAATTTGTCAATTCCGATGGTCTTCAAGTGGTGTTCCAATTGTTTTGGGATTTATTTATATCCTGACTTTATTTTGTACAACTCAAGACAAAGAATATCATGCTGTTGCCTTCTAGTTGCCTTCTGTTTTCCCAACTACAACAGTTTTATGAAACGGATTGGTCTGAGTGAGTAGCCTAAAGGCACCGAGTTCACTTTCATGCATAAGGGAGTACTATAACTCATGGTCTGCAGATTTCTTACTATACCACTAGACCAAATTTGCCTAAAAGGTTTTGAAATTAAGAACATTTTCCTCTCTGAAAATTTGACTATTCGGTAAATCAGCCATAAGTGAACAGGCCTTGGTTGATTCAGTTCTAATTGTTCAAAACTGAAGTTATAATTAACTCATCATGTTGAAGATCCCCAAACAATTCCTCCAGTCACAGAATAAAAACGCATAATTACAACTATTGTGTCAAAGAGGCAACGGAATTCTTTTGCAAAGTTACTAGTTACATAGTGAGGCATGTATATATGAGATAAGAGACAAATTTCTTCAGGATTGACGTATGAAATATATATATAAAGCACATAGCAGGATATGACAATTTTGTATTACTGATCTTTGAAAAGACCCCCTACGCACTTTTTAAAGCTCTTGAAAATCATACTGAGATCTCATTTCGGACAAAATTAAACGAGCACATCTTATTGCATAGTAGCCACACATTGACCTGATTAGCAAAAAGATATCCCAAAGATTCAGCCTGCAGGAAATGAGATATGTAAGAACTTGTTGGTGGCTGGGATAAAATTGAAAGAAATGGGTGTTGATGCTTATGGCAACTGGAGGATTTTCTATGCTGCAGATAAACCCATTGTCGGTGTGCTAATATTGCAAATAAAGGTATTAAGCCTTTTTTAGACTTCCCTTATTTATTATTTTATTTGAATTTGTAATAGTCTCCTATCCTGGCAGGCTACTTTGTATGCTCAGACAATAGTTCAACTTTCCCATCATCAATTTTCTCTAGATAAGCTCCAATCATTCTTAGCAAGCATTTCTGCAAGATGGGGATGATGGGAGTTATAGCAATAGCATTTAGACTTATATACCGCTTCACAATGCTTTTCCGCCCTCTAAGCGGTTTACAGAGTCAGCATCTTACCCTCAACAATCTGGATCCTCATTTTACCGACCTTGGAAGGATGGAAGGCTGAGTTAACCTTAAGCCTGGTGAGATTCGAACTGCAGTCAGTCAGCAGAAGTAGCCTGCAGTACTGCACTCTTAACCACTGCACCACCGTGGCTCATGGTGCAGTAGAGTTCAAGAAACTGCCTTTCTGAAGAGTATTCCAGTCAGGCCTCCACAAGGCCCACCTTGTTCTTCCATTATTGTGTGGGAAGAATTAGGGGCAAGGAAAGACATTTCCCCAGAGTGCAGCTGAGTTTGAAACTCTACATCAGTACCGTGTTTTCCCAAAAATAAGACAGGGTCTTATTTTCTTTTGGAACCCCCCCCTTCTGAAATATGCACTTGGTCTTATTTTCGGGGAGGTCTTATTATTTTTGAGGTGCAGGAGGCGGTGAGCGTGGTCACCTCATGGCTGCTGCTGTGTTGCAATATTTTTGGGGAGGGCTTATTTTCGGGGGATGGCTTATTTTGGCGCATGCGCTCAAAAGCCCGATTGTGGTTATTATCCGGGGAGGTTTTATTTTTGCGGAATCAGGGTGTCTTTTCAAACTTGACAACTTTGAGATGTATAAACACAGTAGAAATCTTTTGAAAAGTTATTTGCTAATCCCATCGTTCATATCAGCATCACTATGCCATATGGAGTATTTGGTGGTGCATTCTTAACAGGTTTAGATGCATTGTGAGATTTCAGTGAGTGGTTTTATTTATTTTTCATTTCCACTAAAATGGCTTTCATGAAAAGCGCTTTTCCTGAAAGGAAACAATTGTATGGGGTCCCCCCACCTCAGAAATGAAAATGGAGAAAGGAAGCAGCCTGTTGTTTCTCGAATATCTGGTCTATTACTGGTTCAGTTTTGTGGGAAGGAGGTTTAGAAGCCTCTGAACAGGAGGTTGGAGGAGGCGTGCAGGCCAGCTGCATGTTGTCTCTGTGATTTTATTTTTATAAATATCTTGGAAAGATTTTTTTTAAGGCTTCGTAAAAACATATATATATATATATTTGTAAAAAAAAATACTGGTTTTTGTTTGTGTTCATGGCATTTTTATAGTGTGTCTGTGTGGCCTCTTCTTCTAAAGTGTTTGAAATTTATAATCTCATAAATAAAATTCAGACATCCTAAATGCAATCTCCAAAGACGCCTTTTTTTTCAATTTACACAAACATGTCAAAAAGGAAGATTGAGAATGCATATTTTAATGTGCCTCCGTGTTCTTTTGCATTTGTTATCTCTTGGCAATGTGGGGTTTTGTTTTTTTTCAGTTAGATGGGCATGGAAGTGTCTGCAAGGAAGAAAGAACTGTGTGAAACATTTATGACAGGATTTTTCTATTCTGCAAACTCTATGAGGGATAAAAAACCTCAGTTGCCTTGGAGTTATAAAAGGACACTCAAATATATACATTTCTTGGAAGTTTCTGCTTTTATAATTCAGGAAGATAATTTATGGCAGCTGAGAGACTGCTTCAAGATTTATTACGGAAACATTTCACTTTTGAAAAGTTTAAATATCCGTAGTAACGTAATTGCCAATCTGAGTTTTATTTAAATATATTTATTCATTCGTTCAACTTGCACGCTGCCTGTCTCAACAAGTGAGTCTGGACAGTGACAGTCTTAAAGTGAATTAAAAACAATTCCCATTTTGAATCTAAAAATGGAGACACCCAGCAGCTGGGGAAGATATCACAATCGATGTTTGCTAGCACAACCAGGTGGTGGCACCCTTCACACAATCTATGCCCCAGGCCGAGCCACACAATCAGGTTTTCAGGGCCTTACATCTCACCTCCAGACGGAGAATGTTTCATAGCATAGATGCTAGAGCAGAAAAGGCACGCTAATGAAACCCAAAGCATGCCCTTCCTGTCAAACCAGATAACCGGGAAAAATCAGTTCTTTGGACAACTGATCTCAAGCCATGAAGGACTTTAAAGGTGACAACCGGCTTGAATTGTGCTCAGAAGTATAATGCTGCTCACAGAGTAGTGTTGTTACATGTATGCTGAATAAGTGGCACCCTTTGCTACCTGTGCAGCTGCATGTTGCACCTGTTGTAATGCAGGTGGTCCCTGATTTACGGCCACAATTGAGTCCTGCTTTTAACTGGGACACTTGTTAAGTGAGCTTTGCCCTATTTTACCACCTTGTATTGTATTTGTATTGTATTTAATGGATTTATAGGCCGCCCAATCCCGGAGGACTTAACAGCCTTGCCACGACTGTTAAGTGAAGCAGTGCAGTTGATTAACTAGCAACCCGGTTGTTAAATAAAATCTGGCTTCCCCATTGACTTTGCTGATCAGAAGGTTGCAAAAGGGGAGATCACATGACCCCGGGACACTGTGACTGGTTCATAAATATGAACCAGTTGTCAAGCACCTAAATTGTGGTCACATGATCTGGGGATACTGCAAAGGTTAGACCTGTGAAAAACAGTCCTAAGTCGCATTGTAGTGCCGCTGAATGGTCACTAAATGGGCTGTTGTAAGTTGAGGATTACCTGTACACTTCAGGAGCAGCCCTATGTAGAGTGCATTGAAGCAGTTCAAACAAACTCCCCACTTACACCAGATTAGGCAAAGCTAAAACAGCATCCAAGCATAAGTCCCACTCCCTCTTCCGTCTTCCAACTGGGAGGTGGGGAAGGAAGAATTATAAATCCCACTGTCAAAACCATACTAAAACCAACAATAGGAGCTGAGGTGGCGCAGTGGTTAGGGTGCAGTACTGCAGGCCACTTNTCGAACATAAATTTATACCCTTCATGGACCAGCTGGTGGGCTCGGCAGATCAGTTTTAAGTTGTTGATGTGGACAAACTGGGCAAAAGAGAAGAGGGAGGAAGTAAATTTATAGTACTCTCTCAGACTGGGTTTTATATACGGGAAAGTCCCCGACATACGGCCACAATCGAGCACAAAATTTCTATTGCTATTGTTAGGCGGGTTCTGCCCCGTTTTACCTTTTGTGCCGCAGCTGTTAAGTGAATCACGGCCGATGTTCAGTAAGCAACCCGTTTGTTAAGTGAATCAGGCTTCCCCGTTGACTTTGCTTGTCAGAAGGTCTAGGCCTCCCAAGAACTTGAAGCCGACTCCTTGTCCCGACAAAAACCCCTTTTATTAATTTGCTGTGAATTCTGCTCATTCACATCCAGCAAAGTCTTTCAAGGGAGGATTTACAGTCACAGACCTTCTCTGGCTTGGAGAGCTGCGAAATATTACATATTCCTGATGTAAAATCTAGACCGGCTGCAAGGCTCATCAACCAGAAAGCAGGCAAAACAATGTTGGGGTGAATTTTGTCCCGGGTTTACCTCATGGATAGATAGATGATAGATAAATAAATAGAGAGAATAGATAGATAATAGAGAGAATAGATAGATGAGAGATGATAGACATAGATAGATAATAGAGATATGAGAGATAACCTAGATATATAATAGAGATAATAGACAGAGATAATAGAGATATGAGAGATAACATAGATGAGAAATATGATAGATGAGAAATATGATTAATAGATAATAGATGAGATAGACATAGATGGATAATATAGATAGGTAGGAGAAAGAAATATGATAGAATAAATAGATGAAATATGAGATAGATAAGAGAGATAATAGATAAATGAGAGACGAGACATACATACATAGATGAGAGAGAAATAGAATAGATAGATAAGAGAGAAATATGATGGATAGATGGATATAGATAGATGATAGATAATAGAGAGATGACAAAGAGATATAAATAGAGATAGATATGGATGAGAGATGATATATAGAAATAAATTTTTATGGGGTGAATTTCGTCCCGGGTTTACCTCATTGGTGACTTTAGCACCAAAAAGCCACCCAGCTCCTCGAGGACTAATAGCCCAGGTGTCCACATCCTCTGGGTCGGACCAGACAAGGTCACAGAAAGCCCCTTTGTGGGGAATCTCTTGGTTCCGCTCGATGGTTCGGATCTGGTCCAGTGTTTTGATGTCTGGAGAAAGGCCTCCATGCACGCAGAGGATCTGTTCATCTATCAACTTGAGGAAAATAGGAATGGAGTTTTTAACTGGCCTCGAAAGTCAAAAGCTACCTCGAGGGGAAAGGGGAGAGGAGAGTGCATAAATCACGTTTTAAAGACTTACCGCTGCTACCGTGAGCATGTCGAAGACTTTAGTGCAGTATCTCCAGGCGTTTGCGTTACCGTATTTTGTCTGGCATTCATCTGTTTTGGGAGGAGAGAAAATGAAAGATGCTATGTTCTATTATTTATTTTCATTCATATACTGCTTTCATCACACACACACACGGTAAAGGTTCCCCTTGCACATCTGTGCTAGTTGTTTTCGACGCTAGGGGGCGGTGCTCATCTCCGTTTCAAAGCCGAAGGGCCAGCGCTGTCCGAAGACGTCTCCGGGGTCATGTGGCCGGCATGACTCAACACCCAAAGGCACATGGAACGCTGCAATCTTCCCACCAAAGGTGGCTCCTATTTCTCTACTTGCATTTTTGACCTGCTTTCGAAGTGCTAGGTTGGCAGAAGCTGGGACAAGTCACGGGAGCTCACTCTGTTAGGCGGCGCTAGGGATTCGAACTGCGAAACTGCTGACCTTCTGATCGACAAGCTCAGCGTCTTAGGCACTGAGCCACCATATATATGTATGTGTATATATACTCTCTCTCTCTCTCCCCCTCCCTCCCTCTCTCTCTGTTCAAGGCAGTGAATGTATGTAATATTCCTTCCTCCTCTTATTTTCTCCCTGTGAGGTAGGCTAGGCTGAGAGAAAGGGACTGGCCCAAAATCATCCAGCCAGCATTCATGCCTAAGGTGGGACTATAACACCATTTTCTGGTGATTGGCCCAAAGTCACCCAGCCGCTTTCATACCTAAGTTAGGATTAGAATTCATTGTCTCCTGGTTTCTAGCCTAGTGCTTTAACCACCAAACCTACTGTTCCTCCCTCCCTGAGTATTCCATAAACTACGAGGTTTATGCTTGCTTTTAGCTGCCAGGGAAAAATGTTTCTGTAATCCTTTTTAAAAAGCCACCAGAAAGGCAAATTAAATCATAACCGTTTTTACACTGATGTAATGGGGAAAAATTGGTTGCAAGA